AGTATATCTCCAGAACGAATTTTGAAAATGAAGAATTGCTACCGGGAAGTAATGGCTCAAAAATAAAGAACTATACAACATCATCTTCTTCGAACATCATCTTTATCTCCTCCCCTCAAAAGTTGGTTCCCGATATAGATTCTCCGTACCAACGATTCAAATAATTTATCGTTATACTACTATTTTTCAGAACTGGGAAGCGTTCGCAAACGACTTTGATGGAGACTGATATTTGTACTCCATCAAACAGAAAAGATGATACGCCTTCACTTTCAATAAAAAGTTCAAGACATCGCTCACGCCGAGAATCACCACGCAAATCCAACACAACAAATTCAAGAAGCAAAACAATGGAGAAGTATAGAGTTATCAGAGAGTTAAAAGAAGTGAACATGATGCCCGCCTCACCTGCTTTTGAACCTATCGAAATGACGACGTTAGTTAAATGTGCTTTTTGTACACTGAACTGGACTTCTGGTGTAGAAGTAGTTCGATTGATTAAGCATTAATTTCTGCTGTATTTCTAAAAGTCACGATTGTCGACAATCTTTTTGATTCAAGCAAAATAAATCTAATTCTATGAAGACGTCATTAAACAGCAGCGCCTGGCAGACTGTTGCATCACTGCTGAAAGATAAGTTACATTAAATGACCACTACACAATATGATAATAAAACAATTAATATTTAAAAAGACATTAAAAACGTGCAGGCACTGTCTTTCGTTTTGTTACATAATTTCTCCTCTGATTGCTTATTGGAGAATTGCCTAGTTCATGTGTTCTGCGTCAGAATTCCTGTGGATGAAGTCTCAAAATTTTTTTTTTTGAATTTTTTAAGATACTCTAATAAAATTGTCAGGGCCTTAATTTTGCTTCACGATATCATTTCAGTAAAAACATTGGTGAAGCACTTCTGAAACACAAAGACTCGGATGAAAAATTATCAGTGACAAAGATTATCAAGCGAAATTCTTCCAAGAAGCTACTTCAATCAGTTAAGGCAAGTTTGCAACAATGCATTTTAAATTTTGACATTGTAGACAGTGAAAATTTGGAGATGGAATACCGTAAATTGTTAAAGATTTTAATTTGTAGAATTAAATGTTTTCTTTATTGAGGTCTCTGATTCAACTCAATCATTCCTAGAAGGGTGTTCGACTGATCAAATCATAGATCGCAGTCATCGTCGCCATACTGCACCCGTAAAAGCCAGTACACTTTTGAGGCGTAATCAGCCAAACAGCGTGGCTACGGGTTTGAAAACTCCACAATCGCGCGCGCGAGGTTTTCATTGTTTTCATTTTTTTAATAATTTATGGATGTAATCATTTCTGTATTATTATGTTTCAAACTTCTATATGTAATGTGGTTTTTGGTGACATTTGACTGCAAGCAGTTTTAATATTCAAGAATTTCAGAAAGGCATTCAACAACGTTAAATTTAATATTGAATGGAATGGATAGGGATTCGGGGCTAAGTAAGTTTCCCATTAAGTTATGTAAGAATAGAAGTTCGTGCTGTTATTATCATTACATTACCTTATCCTGAAGTTATTTCAGTTTTGGAAAAAAAGAAACGTCGCAGTGAAAGTATGAGCGGTGATTCAAGTGACAAAGTTTCTGTTAGCGATGACGAAAATAAGACCACACGAGGAATTCAGACTTTCAGTGCAGAAGCACTTTTGGAACAGGTATTTTACATTGTGTTTAAAATTGCAAGAAACAGCAAATGTAAATTTGTAAATTTGATGTTTCTTACATCCTTGTCTTAATAAATAATGCGTTTTAGAAATGTATAGAGTCGCGACAGCGACGAGCCAAGCGGCAGAAACGACGGGAGGAAGCGATTGGCTCTACACAGACAATACCAATGCAATGTACTGTTGAATCGACTCCAATAACTTCACTTCTGGATGATGTAACAAATGAAATAAATCGCTTAGAAAGAGATCGTGAAGTAGCAAGCAAGTTGATTAAGGATGAGAGAAATACCCTGTTTTCAGATACCAACGAGAAGGATCACGATTTGGATTCGGTCTCTATTAAAGGTTGCTTTTCCTATATTATAAGAAAGATTTCTCTTCAAAACTGAAGGTTTTCGAGTAATTCTCATAAGTCCCCACAAAGGATCCGTTTATTTTCTTAAATACCATACTTTGAATGTGTGCAATTAAAATTGAAAAGCTTATGCGAAATCCAGCTTTACTGCCCAGTTCAATTGTTCCTCTCTTTACCCAGTTGAATATACGAAACATTTTTATTTGCGTAGTCACTGTAAGAAACGAAAATAATTTTTTGCAGAAGACATATCTCCATCACCCCTTCCATCAGTTTCTCCACCGAAGAATACGTCATTTATATCTGCAATTCCTTCCGCAATAAGAGAAAGTCGTACAGAATTGTCATCCTCATTAGATGTTCCGACACATTCACTTTATTCATCATCAGTCAACACCAATGTCGAATCAACTACTTTATTTCTTAATGCACCGTCTTCTACCATCACAGCAACTTGCAAGAAAACGTTACATGTAGAGCCGCTGAAGCGTGTATCAGAACAGCGAAATTTCGAATTAACTCACAGTGGTGAGGATGCTGCTGGAGTAAGCTTTTTATTATGACATATACTCGTCGTTTTAATTAAACTCTTGTTTGGGAAGTTTCAGAAAGTGTAGAAATTTCAGTTTTAACGAGGTTTAAATAAAGGAATATTTTTTTTATTCTTTGTTGCTGAAATTTCATATATAGCACAAAGAAAGAACACTAGCTAAATTCTGGAATGTTTTGTGTTTAGAAGTAATAAAATCTGTAATAATAAGGGATTTCAATTTTATACTTGTCACCTCAATCTCATTATTTATTTATTTTGTGTAATGGCTTTAGCTTCTCAATTTTAGAATAGCGCGGAAGGCAATAATCGACGAAATGATTTTGGAGAGGATTTCTCAAAGTCTGATGCCATCAAAACACAACTTTTGAACGCAAGGAGTGAAGACGTAAGTCTTGTATATATGCCTTTATTTATTTCTGAAATTTATGACAAAGTTTAGTCCGTATTTAATAAAAATAAGTCTTAATATATAATAAAGATAACATAATTTATTGATGATACCAGTAGTAATCGCTATTCAATGAATCTTGACATAAGCTATGCAAAATTTGAATAATTTCAGGATATAAAAGCAGGTCCTGCTTATATGCCCTCGGGATTGCGGCCGAGTGTTTTATCTATAAAATCTAATAATCGTGGTATGGTGAAACAACGCGTTAATCATTTCGCACGTTTGGGAATACAAAAAACCATTAAAGAGCAGGCGCGTTTTATTTATTTTACAAAATTCATTAGTATACTTATTTGTAAGTGTTCCTTATTTGCTTCGAATGAAGTCTTGGATTTCGTTCTCGCATTTGAAGTAGAACAATTTATATTGTAGGGTTCTAAAGCAGGAACTCAGTGGCAAGATAGTAAATATGCATCTTCATCACTTCAGAAATTTTCTGCTCCTCCCGCTTCACATAGTTTGCAAGCGATTGCTGGAAATGTATCTCCACCTTCGCGAGAGATTGTTATGATGCGAACTAAAAAATTTGAAGGTAAGATTTTACATTTCAGCAAGCATTGCGCGTATGAGTATGCATCAGCACAGTTGATAAAACGTTCACTAAACATATAATAAAATGGTATTCACAGAATATCAAGTATTTATCTCACTCTCTGACTGTCTGGCACTTAATATATATCGCATTATTGTTGATGTGAATTTTATTTTATCGTACGTATTGTCTGTCAAGCATTGTTGTAATCTTTGTTAGGCACCACATTTTTTGTAACCATGTCCTAATGAAATAATTTTCATTTTTTAAATATTTCGTAAACTATTTCTGGTCAAATGTTTTATATCACTATTGACAATTAACCCAATAATATTGTTTTAATGCTGCGCAAGTATTACCCACTCGGAATGCATTGCCAACAAAACTCAAATGCACAGTTCCAAATTCACCGTTACTTTCAGTTAATATCAGGTTGTTCTTCAATAAGGAACGGCATTAAAACAAATTTTTCATAACGCATAGAGATTGCAGCATTAGCGACGTCGGCTGGTATGGAAGCATGCAAGAATTTTCGTTCCGCAACACGCAACAGACTTGCAAAAATTCAAAAGCAAAACAATCCGAAGACACCTCGCCGTTTGAGCGGAGAAATACGAGCTGTACGACGTTCGCAAGCTAGACTTGATAAATCTCTTGAGAAACTTGCAGTCAGTCTTAGTAATCGTCGCTTACTGGGAAGATCTCTAAGTCAGACTGGCTACAATAGGCTTTGCTCATTAGACACAAGCAATAGATCAGAAGAACGGCGACAAAGTGTTGGACGACCGCTGGTTCAAACATCATGTCATGGTGATTTGAACTCATCCACAGTGTTACATTCTGCGAGTTTGAAAATGATACCGGAAACAGAACATGATATTTGAAGTGAAGGTGGTTAAGTAGGTAGTCTGCCTTGTTCTTGTTGTGTAGTCTGTCTTGCTCTTGTTGTGACATCTACTATACATGAAGCTTCTCTTTTCCTAATTCAATACTGATTTTAATATTGCGCGAAAAATCATTTTTAGTAACAAAGTTATGGAACCGTTAATGTTTAAATCTTGAAATCATTAATCATAAAAATGATTGTGGAATCTCTACTGATTTTATTATATATTCTTCATTTATAAACTATAAAATGTTGAGGAAATTCTATTTAATTATATTCTCTCGTTTTAAATTTATAGTTCATACAACTCAAATGCAATAAAAATTTTGATCAATATGTGTGAACCTCACAATATTTCTTAACGTTTTTGTTGTGCTATTTGTGTTCATTTGTTTTTTTTTCTGTCAATTGAATGTATTTAATTTCGTTATCTCATTCACTCATAAGAGAACAAGGGAAAAGGTATTTAAAAAATATTGTGTTAGGTATGAGGTAAACATGCGTGCAAATTTTTATAAATTTAAGAAAAAGTGGATGATGCGAGGAACTGGAAATCTATATATAATATGCTAAGAAATTTTGAAACTCCATTCTATTTTGTGTTGAATGTATTTAAAATTTTTTGCATGAGTTTTTATCAGTTTTCCAGAATTGAACGAAATAATGGAACAGACCTCGTCGCCGAACAGTTCTCCTCAACGCCGTAGTGCTCTCCATTCCTTGTCGATCTCATCATCCATTACTGCACGATCTCCAATTATTTATCTTTCCACAACGAAATCACGACGACCGAGAAATCCATTCATGAACGATCCTGACAACGCTTCAACTGATACCAGTTCAGTCTCGTCGAATAGGAAATAAAAGTTGACGGGCCTAGCTACATATCCGAAGTTTTTTTTGTATAGCTCTTTTTTTTCATTTGTACTTGGAAGTGATCCAGCATATTTAAAAGCGTTGATTTTGTTCTGTGCTACTTTTAATTAAAAATTTGTAATTATCTTTTATCTAACTCAAGAACTCTTCACTGTGCATTATTGATAGCTGTTGTGTTTAATTCGTTCGGTTCCCTTTTTTTCAGAATTCAAATTATGTACTGCATATCTATCGGTACAGGACCTGCTATTCAAAACTTTTTATCCTTGACATTTCGGTTATTTATTTTACATTTGCATGAGCATTGTTTTTGCATCTTAAGAAACTAATTCTTCAGCTGATGTAGTGTTTCAGGCTTATTGGCACCTACCTCTCTCATCTTATCACTGCATAACGTGTTGGTCTTCTAAATCTCCTCTGTGCTCATTTGTTTCTCCTGATTAGGCATTTCATTTATCTGTACATATAAGGTGCCACCTCAGTTTTGTTGCATTCTCAGTTCAGTAATTTTGCAATTCAGAGAAGTGAATTAAAACTATCCTCAGCTCGAATTTGTTCATAAAAGAACTGCTGTGCTCTGAGAAAGAGATGAAGTCATTTAATCCTGGATTTTTTTTCATATTCTACTCATCTATAATTAGCAAAACTGGGAGAGTACAGGACTTTTTTATCAAGCATCTAGCTGAAAATGGAATATTTAGTGAATAAGGATTTTTCTAGAAATTAAGTTTTGGTGAAATTTCTAGAAATTAAGCCATTAAATGGTTGAGTGGGCCTGCGTGTATCAAAGTTAAATAGGAGATAGTACTTTGTTAATCAAATCAATTTATGTTTTCTGTCGCATTTACATATTTGTTATCACATTTGCTCCTATCTAATGTTCTATTCAGCATTTAAAAACATGCAATACATAGTCATGATGTTCGTATAAGCAGCCAAGCTGTCAAACCAAGCTATCCTCTGCTGCTATTTGCATTAAAAACGGAAAATTTTTCGCTTCTTCAGCTTCCTCTACACTTTTAGGACGTTGCGATGGTTTGATTTTATCTGTTGTTGGTGCATTTGTTAATCGTTTTTGTATCTATAAGAAAGGAATTTAGCAACAGTTAATTCAGGAAAAACATTACCAAACAGATAAAAAAGCTGTTCCAGTAAAAACTGCTCCTTCCCTCCAGAACAATATCTTAAACATTTCTACAAACAAACATTTCAGATATACAACGTTAAACAAAAATTGAAAAATAGATTCAGTCCTGAGAGGCGTAAACGTCTTTCAGAATCTTTCAGAAATATGTGTTGCCAGCTATGATTGTGCTAGATAAACTAGAATCTGCAGATGATAAGTTTACAAATCAGTACGCAAAGCAAAATCTCAATCATATGAAATGCAAACATAAATGATGAAATGATACCGTGAAATAATAAGCAGTGTAAATTGATGCCAGATTTATACCGTCAACAGCTCCTTTAAAACGTTTCCAATACCATCCAACAAATCCTAGCGAAACAGCACTGCGATCCTGAAATTCAGTAAGGACATTTTTTATCGCACTATCCTTGTTCAAAGGCAATTGCATTTATTTTAATTTTCAGAAAATTCTGTTTGTTAATTCCAAAACTTTGCGACATATAACGTAGTCAACTTTTTTTGCATGACAGTCATGCAAGCAATTACACTGCAAAACTGTATGCTAAAAAAGACGCTTTCAATGAATTAAGCAAATATCAATAATTTGGTAAATGTGAGAATGGTCTATAAATGAATAGGCACTTATTTTGATTATAATAATTTTATTTTCTTCGAAAATAAAAAAGACTCACCCAAACCATCATTTGTTCATTGCATCTAATCTGATAGCATAGTTCCTTGGCATCTTTTCTACCTAGCGAGTAATAATTCATACAAGCTAATGTGCTCAGCGGTCCAATAATAAAACTTGCCAAAAGGAATCGTCCCTGTAAGTGAAAGAAATTCTTGCGGAGAAATTTACTAATGGTGATTTATTGTCGCTGTAGATTTTACATTTTAAATTGCATATTTAATAATTCATAATTCTTTGTCTAGATAAATCTATAAACAGTAAAAAACAAATCGATCAAAAAATGATCGTTTTATGTGCTTGAAAACAGCAATTTATTCTCTCATTCATCATAAAAATTTTTAAATTTCTGTGGAGTTATTTATATATACCTGTACTTTTCGACATTTATCTCTAATTATTTTAAATGAATTGTTGGTAGTATTCTCGGGAGTTATGTTTCTTAGAAGAAACAACCGATATATTGGGTGTACTATGCAACCACCTAAAAGAATCATTTTTTTAGGAAAGAAAAATCAAATCAAGAGTGATGGAATTTGAAGAGAAAAATCTCAAGTAGTTTAATGTTCAGATTAGTATTCAAAAACAGTAACATCATTATCAGATTTATTGATTCAAAGAAAAAAAAAACTTCAAACATACCAAGAAACGACAAAAGTTCAGCGGTCTTGAAAGTTCCAAAAATGGTCAATTCAATGTATGGAGATGGAATTAATACCAAATTATCCACTGTCAATTCGGAACGATGTAGCTGCGAAAAATTGTACCACCATGGCCCCAAACCAAACATTTACAGTCATGCAATGCACAAAACTCCTAGATTACAAAAGCCTACATCCGACGTCACGTCACCAACGTTTGTTTTTTGCAAAAATCATTACAAAAAATACTCTTCAACGCAATGCAATTTAATGCATGGAGATGAAATTGATACTAAATTATCCACTTGCAATCAAAACAACCTTCAATACAATGAATTTCATGTGAAAGCAAGTCGTCATGGTCCCTTTATACACATAAAATTTCTAAAAGAACTGGATTTAAGCAATTTGAATTATACCCAACCACATGCAATGAAGAAAAATTGTTCGACCTATAACTAGGAAAGAAGGCGAATAGACGTATTTCACATCTCATGAGTCGTCTTAAACTTTCATAGAAGATTCGGCTGGCAAAAGAAACCATAGAAAAGACAAAAGAGACACTATGTTTCAACTTAAATTTTATTGCTTAACCAAAAAGAGGCAGAAAAACAAAAAACAATGAGAATAACTGGTTTTAAACATTAAGACGGAGAAGTGCATTCAGGAAATCTAACACTCAGAAACTGTTAAAAAGATCCTTATTTACTACTGTTAACTGAATCCAGTGCTTTGCGCAACTTCATTTGTTCTCGCTTGGAAAGTGAACGACAAATCTTTTTTTTAGTTTTCTTTATTCCACGTTCTCGTTGTGCTTCCAACGCTGCCATTTCCTACAGAAATATAAGATAATAAAAATTGACAGAAAAAGAGAAGCAAATTTCTTAATTATTGTTTTGTAAAAAATTACCTGAAACCAGGGATGACATGCATATTCAAATA